GGTACGGCTGTGCTGGTGCTGGGTATGACTGTGCTGGTGCTGGGTATGACTGTGCTGGTGCTGGGTACGGCTGTGCTGGTGCTGGGTATGGCTGTGTTGGTGCTGGGTACGGCTGTGGTGGTGCTGGGTACGGCTGTGCTGGTGCTGGGTACGGCTGTGGTGGTGCTGGGTACGGCTGTGGTGGTGCTGGGTACGGCTGTGCTGGTGCTGGGTACGGCTGTGTTGGTGCTGGGTACGGCTGTGGTGGTGCTGGGTACGGCTGTGCTCGTGCTGGGTACGGCTGTGCTGGTGCTGGGTACGGCTGTGCTGGTGCTGGGTACGGCTGTGCTGGTGCTGGGTACGGCTGTGCTGGTGCTGGGTACGGCTGTGCTGGTGCTGGGTACGGCTGTGGCCGTAGTCACTGAACTGTGGCGACGAAATCGAATGAAACACGCATGGTACTGTGTGTACAAGGATTAGACCTGTCCACTTGTGCTGGAGTTGTTGTTCCAATAACATAATTTCTCAAATAGCAGATGTCTATCATATTACAGTATATATTCAGTTTTATTTAGTTACTTTAATTAGGATAATAAAAAGCTATTAAAACACTGGTTTTAGAAATGATTTATTAATCTGAAACTTTCAAAGTCATGGGTCACTGAACTATGACGATACAGACGAAAGTGAGTGAAACCTCACTGTAAAGTGAGGTTTACAATACAGTATTCTCTTATCTGTCCACCCTCACTCATCTTGTTTCATCACAGAAAATGTCTATAAGGAGATTTAACACATGTAGCTAGCTAATCACGCTTCAGCTTTTAAATTAATGTACAAAGATACGTGTGCCACAAATTAGTGAACGAAAATCATGAAAAAACTCAGTCGTTCACTTGTGTGGATCACTCTGGCTGGTGTTTAGTTAATATGCTTTACTTGTTGTGTGGACCATTCTGGCTGGTGTTTGGTTCATATGGTTCACTTGTTGTGTGGTCCACTTGTGTGATCCAACTTGTCTTATGAAGAAATTATTAATTGTAATCTGTGATAGAATGGGAAAGTTTACCACCAGTTTGTGAACTCTGTTTGGACATCATAAGCAAATCCGAACATCCCCCACTTCGGCGAACCATTGTTCGTTGAAGTGGGTGAGTAAATCCGGCCTGAAAAGTGTGCAAACTAGCTGGAGATTTGTTAAATCGGGGTACGTTGAATCGAGGTTGTACTGTACATTCAACACTAGTTTCCTGAGGTGAGCCCCGCCAGTTCCCTGAAGCTATATACCCACAGATAAGTAAAAAGGGACTTACCTGGGAGGCGGCAGCACCGCATGCCTCATGACGAAGACAGGACAACTGGCCACGACAAACGCCCTAAAGTCACACAAGGCTACTGAGGACCCGAAACGTGAACAAGATAACAGGCGGCCTGGACCCTGTTCGATCTCCAAAACCTCCGTGCCCGAATGTCAACCGAAGACATGTTACCAAAGACTGCAGCAAAAGCCGCAAACTTCCGCACATCATGGGCATGAGGGTAGACCGCAGGCTGGCTAGACTTGATAATCCTACAGACGACCTGAGAGACCCAAGCTCTGGAACAGGGAGTAAGGAACACCAGATCTACCAGAGGCCAAAGCCAACAAAAACAACGCCTTCCTGAAACACTCTTGAACTGAAAGGGCCACAACAAAATGAAGAGAAGAGAGAAATAATAGCACCTGATCCAAAGACCAGGACGGCCATAGTGCGATGTATGTGCAGGCCTGAGGTGAAAAAATGCACAAGAGAGCTTGCGGAACAGAACAGAAGTGACTTCCAGCTCACAAGCTGGAGTGTCTCCACGATAAGAAGTGTGATGGGTTGTTGTATCGCAGCTATACTGAACCAAGGTGGTATGGCTCTCCCTCATACAAATACTAAAAAAATGCTGCTATTGGCCTTGCAGTGTGTAAGTCGCAGGTGGAAATAAATGAAAATCGTCAAATAAATAATCAAAACAATTTACTGAAATATTAATGAACGAATGTGCACATAAGAATACTTGGCTATTATTATATAACAGATCAAATAAGTAAATGAAAGTTTAATGCAATGTATGAAGATATACTGGTGTACTGAAGACAGCTACCATACCACTACGGCATCAGACACATGGCACAAGCCAAGACCCAACCAAAGCTGCTCCACAGCCACATCAGGAGGAAAACAGTAGTGAAGGAACAAGTGATGAAACTGAGAAAAGGGGAGAACACAGAGAATGACTAGGAGGTGCGTGAAGAACTCAACAAGAGATTCCAGGAGGTCTTCAGAATAGAATAAGGAGAAGCCCCTGCACTAAATGAGGAGGCAAACCAAGCAACCTTGGAGGAATTTGACCTCACCAGTGATGAGGTCAAAAGGTGTCTGCTGAAGCTGGATGTGACAAAGGCTGATGGGCCTGACAGAATCTCACCATGGATACTAAAGGAAGGTGCAGAAGCACTAAGTGTGCCACTCTCTATGGTGTATAACAGGCCACTGGAAACAGGAGACTTACCAGAAAGTTGGAAGACAGCTAATGTAGTCCCAATATACAAGAAAGGTAACAGGCAAGAAGCACTGAACTACAGGCCAGTTTCCCTAACTTGTATACCATGCAAGGTGATGGAGAAGAGCATGAAGAAAAAGCTCGTAGAGCATCTGGAGGGAAATAACTTTGTAACGCACCACCAACATGAGTTCAGGGATGGTAAATCATGCCTCACAGGTTTAATAGAATTCTATGACCAGGCAACAAAAATTAGGCAGGAAAGAGAAGGGTGGGCCGACTGCATTTTCCTGGACTGCCAGAAAGCCTTTGACACAGTACCCCATAAAAGGCTATTAATTAAAAAAGTTGGAGCAACAGGCAGGAGTAAAAGGGAAGGTGCTCCAGTGGATAAGGGAGTACTTAAGCAACAGGAAACAGCGAGTAATGGTGAGGGGGGAGACATTAGAGTGGCGAGATGTCACCAGCGAAGTCCCATAGGGCTCAGTACTTGGAACTATCCTGTTTCTAACATATGTAAACGATCTTCCGGAGGGTATAGACTCGTTCCTCTCAATGTTTGCTGATGATGCAAAAATTATGAGAAGAATCAAGACGGTTGAAGATAGACAGAGACTACAGGATGACCTGGACAAACTGGAGGAATGGTCTAGAAAATGGCTGCTAAAGTTCAACTCAGGAAAGTGTAAGGTAATGAAATTAGGCGAAGGGAGCAGGTGGCTGAACACAAGGTACCATCTGGGAGGTGAAATCCTGCAAGAGTCAAATAAAGAGAATAGAGAGAAAGATCTGGGGGTTGATATCACACCGAACCTGTCCCCAGAGGCCCACATCAAAAGAATATCATCAGCGGCATATGCTAGACTGGCCAACATAAGAAACTGGCCTTTAGAAACTTGTGTAAGGAGTCGTTCACAACCCTGTATACCACTTATGTAAGACCAATTCTGGAGTATGCAGCTCCAGCCTGGAGTCCATACCTAGTTAAACTCAAGACAAAGTTAGAGAAGATTCAGCGGTTTGCCACCAGGCTCGTCCCGGAACTGAGAGGAATGTGCTACGAGGAAAGGCTAAAGGAGCTGAACCTCACAACCCAGGAAAACAGAAGAGTAAGGGGAGACATGGTAACTACCTACAAAATTCTCAGGGGAATTGACAGGGTGGACAAAGACAAACTCTTCAGCACGGGTGGGACACGAACAAGGGGACACAGGTGGAAACTTAGTACCCAGATGAGCCACAGACACGTTAGAAAGAATTTTTTCAGTGTCAGAGTAGTTAATAAATGGAATGCATTAGGAAATGATGTGGTGGAGGCTGACTCCATACATGGTTTCAAATGTAGATATGATAGAGCCCAGTAGGCTCAGGAATCTGTACACCAGTTGATTGACAGTTGAGAGGCAGGACCAAAGAGCCAGAGCTCAACCCCCGCAAACATAACTAGGCGAGTACGGCGTTGGCTGAAGGCAGACGACGGGTGAGAGACCAAGGTGATCCTAGAGCACTAAGAGAGAGACTGGCTTTCCAGTGAGGCGGTGCCCTTTATATAGTCAGGCGGTGATGACTCATCCGAGGTGGACATCTGGTCAACTAGCAAACTGCTCGTTTGTGGCTGGAGGTGCCTTTGTGTTGAGCTGCACCACTGTCAGGTGAAGGTGGCTAACTGCTTGTTTGTGAAGGCAAGCCAGAATGCAGTACTCAGCCTACTATGCAAGGCCTGATTTGCCTAATAAGCCAAGATTTCCTGAATTTATATACTTTTCAATTTTTTTTTCCTTATGAAATGATAAACTATCCATTTCATTAAGTATGAGTTCATTTCTTGTAATTTGAGTTAAAACTAACGTAGATATTTGACCGAACCTAACCAACCCTACCTAACCTAACCTAAACTAACATAACTAAGTCAATTATTTATATTCTTATTATAATATAATAATAATAATTCAAATAAACCAATTGGATTTTTGTTGGAAAATAAAGAAAATCACTCGGCCTATTAGGCAAATCAGGCATTGCATAGTAGGCCAAGAAGTGCATTCTGGCTACTAGATATATATATATATATATATATATATATATATATATATATATATATATATATATATATATATATATATATATATATATATATATATATATATATATAATTAAAATATACACCCACACACCTCTGTACATACATATATTTCCAAAGTTACATGTAATAAATACCACTAATGACACATCAGTACAACATGAGATCACAACAAATTAAATAAAGTAAGAAACAATGAAAATAAATGGGCCGGGTTATTCCCATCAGGCACCTCACCTAATTTCTACTGAAAACCTGCAACATCTTCCGGTTCCTACAACTAAACCACGATAGACAGAGATTGTGTTTACTTGAATTTTCATGCATCTTGGATGGTAATTAACACTTTTAAGAGTTAAATACTGTATATAATTTTTTTCTAATATTTGCATTATCTGCTTATTTGCAGAGGGGTTGAGTGGACAAGCCTGACTTCCATCCTGTCCTTTGGTCACCAGCCGCTCACAAACAGTCAGGGTCTTGTGCGTAATGAACTCATGTACACTGACATCCTCACAGGACGAACCATTACCTTAAGACCAAATAAGAGCGATGAAACGAGCATTGACATGGTTAGAGTTTCTTATTTAAAGTAAGTACAGTGTTTTGGTGTTGTATGAAATACAGAAAATATATTCAGAAAGAATAACAAAATTGTTGAGAGTAAACACAATAACATTGCTGAAAATTAGACACTCAATCTACACCTCAGAAGATAACAGAATTGTCCAGGACAATACTTTTCAGAATTGACAAAGCTTGGAAGTGACAAAGCTTTAATCCAGGAAGGATGAAAACTTTGTCACTTCCTTTTTTCAAATGTGTGGATTGGGAGTTTAACAACAATGTTCCTTTAATATGTTGCTCCTCCATGTGCCTCTCAAAGGGGGCCAGGTTTTGGCTCGTGGTTCTCGGTAGGTAAGAACTCCTTGCACGTTGACTGATGCCAGAAAGCTAATATGTCCATATCAGCCTGGATAGCTCCAGGGAGCCTCCGGGTCTCACCCAGAAAATACTGTTTCATTACATTCAATCTTGGTTTCTGGGGGAAGCCCCATCAGCTTCCTGGAGCTATCCAGGCTGAATGGATATATATAAATTTCTGGCATCAGTCAATGTGCATGGAGTTCTTGCCTATTGGGGATCACAAGTCAGAACCTGGGCCCCTCAGAGAGGCACAAGGAGCAATGGCCTATAGAAACCCCCATGTGGTTAGGAGCATTTTATGTCTGCCATCGACCGGGTCTGGCACCCAGAAAGGTAGGTGCCCTAAAACAACCCCTATTCTGGTGAAACTATTGTTACCGAAAGCTGAACGAGTGGACAGAACTCCCCAAATGAAAATTAGCAAACGAGCATGACGTCATCATATTGCCGCGCCACAGTCTGCACAACCCCCTCCCTCCAACCACCAGTTCTTGGCTGATGTGATTCTGGGGAAGTCGTGTGCCTCTGGTTCCTGTTTTTTGTCTCAGTTCTGTGCCTTGTGATGTGGGCTGTCTCTACAGGTGGTGTGTGAGCCAGAAGAAATATTCCACAGTACTCGGGCTGCATGTGCCTAGGGTTTACTTCCCTAGGTGCCCTGTAGGTGCTGCCCTTGGGACTTGGGGCCTCCTTCCAAGTCTCCTTGGATTCTACCTCCGCTGTGTCTTTTACTGCTCTGTACTTGGCTACCCTTGGGGTCACTAGGTTGGTTGGTTGCGGCCCCGGATGCCCCGAGACTGCCCCGTTTTGGTTATAGGGACTCTCGACTTGGGGGGTGGGAGTGGCTTCGGCTCTGGTTCCATCCACCCCCTCCTAGTCCTTCCCCTTCTTTTGTGCATCCGGTTTCTCCCCCTTGCTTCTGGCTCTGAAACGTCTGAGGGTTTCGGTGTCGGGACAGGGTCTAGTTGGTGTTGAGATTCGGGCGGTCTTGGAGGAGTCCCCCCTTCTGGGGTTTCGGCGGAGGCTTTCAAGCCTGGTCCTCCTGCTGGAGCTAATGGATCTGACCAGTAGACTCCCCTTCGTTCCTGCTTTTTCGGCAGCTCGCGCCTTTTCTTTAGAGGCAGGGGGTTTGGAGGCCAGCTCAGCCCTGGATCTTCCGGGGTGAGGTTCCTGGGGCAGGGGAGTGGTTGACATGGGGTCCTTGGGCCCCATTGGACCCCGCCTGAGTTTTTATACCCTCGGAGCAGGGCTTGGTGTTACAAGGAGATGGGTTCTCTTTTGCTCCCTCCTCATACGAGTTGGATTTGAGCTGAACCCTCCCCGGGTTTGGCTCCATGATCTCGTGGGTTCTTCGGTCCTATCCTTCCAGAGGTTTTCGGCTTCCAACATCCCATCACAGGTGGTGCGGGAAGCCCTTGCGGCTTGTCCCCTGCGTGACTCGGATTATGCTTTCGTGATGGATCCATGTTCCTTCGTGTATGGATCTTCGTGTCCGTAATGGGTTTGTTATGAAGTTCTGGAGTAGTCCTGGTTAGCAGACTGCCCGCTCTTTTCTTTGGAGGCTTGGCACATTCTGTCAGTCCCACGCGCTTAAGTGGAGGGAGGCTCAGACTGCGCTGCAGGTTTTCCTTGGGGGTGACTTAGAGCATCTCAATGCTTGTTTGTTCGCCCCTGCCCTTCTGCAAGATGTTGGTGTGATGCAGCTTTATGTGCAGGTTCCCTCCCTTTCGACTGTATTGGTCGCAAACGATTTGTGTACACGTGGCCTGCGGGCTTCAGCCGTGTGTTTCTTCTCCCTCCTTGAGCTGCCCTTGGATTGGCTTGAGTTGGATGTGAAGATGCTTGGGGGGGGGGGAATTTTACTTGAATATTTTATAATTTTATGCGGCAATTCAAATTACGTTGTTTATGGTATAAAAATTTTTGGAAATGGTCAGTTTTGGACTTCCTTGTTGAAAAACTATGTTAATCCGGAAAATGTGCTAATCCGGCTGAGAGTCCTTCCCATACAGTTCAGATTAGCGGGTTTATACAGTATCTGATATAAGAATAAGGAAAAGCAGTGGTGCAAGGACTGTACCCTGAGGTACAGGGCTTTTAACTGCGCTTAAACTCGATTTTATTTGATTGGGAGTTTTTGTATCCCCTTTCCCTGTACGAATTTGATTTGGGGTCGGCTCCCCTTCCCCCAGGTTCAATTTTGGATTCCTTTGGGTTCCTTGGCTCCCTCTTTCCAGAGGTTTTCTGCCTCCCGCATTTCACGTAAGGGGGTTGAGGAGGCTCTTGCTGCCTATCCTCCTGCATGACCCGGATTTTGCCTCTGTGATGGATCCGACCTCGTTTGAGTTCAGTTCTTCTTCTTCCCCATATTGGATGCATTATGAGGTTCAGGAGTCATCTTGGCTGGCAGACTGCCCTTTCTTTTCTTTGGGAGCGTGGCACGAGTTTTGTCGAACCCGCACGCTTGAATGGCAGGGGGGTAACTACTGTTCGGCAGGTTTACTGGGGGGTGATTTTGAGTGCCTCATTGCGTGCCTTTTCGCTCCTGTGTTTTCTTGTGATGTAGGCCTTCTGCCGCTGCACTGGCAGGTTCCCCTCCCTTTCGGCTGCTTTGGTGGCTGAGGATTTTTGCACCTGCGGGCATTTGGCCTTGGTCTTGCGTTTTTTCCCTTCTCGAGTTGTCCTCGGGCTGGCTTGGGGAGAACGTGGAGGCGTTGAGTGCCGGGCCTTTGTCTGGGGCGCTGGCCTCAGCGACCAGGGTATCAGCTGCACTGTTGAAGCTATTTGCGCTGATACTCTGGGAAGCAATGTGTGTCTGTTCATTGCCTATCGCCTTGCGTGTCGCCAGGCCATTCTCGCTCTCTCCTTGGAATCTGCTTTGGCCCTGGCTCTTAGATTTTCTTTGCCTTTTTGTCCCCTGATGTTTGTGGACAGTGCAGTGACTCAGTTTATGTAGGCAGCCTCGTCTAGTTGCCGTCCTCTTTCGGAGTTGTTGGTTTTCCGGGGTTGCCGTTCTTGCAGACGGATCATGCCAGGGCTTGGTGGTTCTTCTGGTCGAGGTAGGCCCCTTGGTGCTAGTTTCAGAGCCAGCGCTTTCTTCAGCGATGGCGTTGTCAGGTCGGCACAGTGTTCGCTCTGCTCGTCGGCCTGCTTCTTGTAAGGGGCGTCAGCCTTTTTGCTGCAGTGTGCCCCCGTTGATGGGGCACTAGGAGTGAGGCTGGCTCTGTTTGCTCACGATTGGTCCTACAGTTCGTGGATGCATTGGGTTGGGTCCTCCTGCTTCTGGTGGCGTTGGGCTACCAGAGGCTCACCATAGGCCACCAGAGGCCACCCCTCCGAACCTCTTCCTTCAGGGGGTTCGGGGCTAGCAGGGCAGACTACTCCTTCGCTCCATCTGGTCATCTTGGAGTGGGTGTGCTTGGGCATGGTCGAAATGACCCCCATCCCTCAAGTGGGTTTCCAGTTTGTTTCAAATACCGAAACTGAACTATGTGGATCTTCGGTTCATTCTGGACTTGTCCTGTCTTAACCGCTGGATTCCTTGTCCTTCCTTTTGGATGACCATTCTGTTCCAGGTCCGGCTTCTCTTGGAGCTGGGTTGTTGGATGGTTTCTCTGGACCTCTGGGACACGTATTGGCATGTCCCGATTCACGTGGGTTCAGGGACTGGTTAGCTTTCATCATGAGACGACGTGTTTTCCGCTTTTGTCGCTTTTTTGGGGGGGCTTGAATCTGGCATCTTGCATTTTCACGCATCTTACCTGGGTCATGGTGACTTGTCTGCTTCTGCTAGGGGTTTGGGTTCTGGCCTACTTTGACGACTGGTTGTGTGCGCTCCTAGCCGGTCAGCTTGTCTGCTCGTTAAAGGTGTGATTCTTTCCCAGATCACCGGGTTCGGGTTCATGGTTCTCCGTGGTGGCCAACCCAGTCTTGGTTTCAGGCGCTTCTTGTTCGGTGTCCGAGCCTTGGGCATTTTCCGCAGCTTCGCCTCTTCCAGCAGATCGGGCCAGTCCGGTACTTGGCTGGTTCAACCCACTCCTCCGCTCTTCACGTCTGGTCTTTTTTATGTGGGTGTATCATCACTTGTATGGTGATCATGTGGCTTCATTGATGGTGTCCTACCTGTGGTCTTCATCTCAGTGACAGTATGACGTCTCTTGGCGTTCATTTCCCCCATTTCCTCTCTCCGTAGGTTGTCTTTCTGTTCGATTTGTTTTATTCTTTCTTTCTTGGCTCTTTCAGGACTGTCATCTTATGCTAAATACTATTGCCTCTTATTGTGTGGCGCTGGCAGAGCCGCTCCAGCTTGCGTTCGGGGTGGATGTTACTTCCGTCCTGTTCCGTGATCTTTCTCATGCTTTGTTTCACCTCCAGCCTGCTCATGCGCCACCTGAACAGTCCTGGTCTTTGGACCAGGTGCTCTCTTTTTCTTTCTTCCCCTCAATTTGTAGTGGCCTCTTCGATTCAAGATTGCTTTCAGAAGGCTCTTTTTCTGTTGGCATTGGCCTCTGGGGGTCAGGTCGGTGAGCTTCATGCTCTCCTCCAGTGCAGAGGTTTCTGTTCTTTCGGTCCTGGTGGTTGTTTTGTTCAGTTGTAGATATCTCCTTTTCTGGCAAAGAACGAGACATCAGGCTTCTGGAAGGGCCCCTTGAGTTATTAATGCTTGGT